TATTTAACATAGCCATGGAAAGTCACCATTTTTAATAGGTAAACCATCTATAAATGGTGATTTGCTATCCCCATTTCTATCCCCAAGGACCCGCCGTGCTGACGTCAGGGCCTGTCTCCCCGGAAGATCTTGCGCGACTGTCGGGTCAACCTGCGCCCTGGCGGCGGTGAAGGGGTGCCGCGGACGGAGGGTGCTCCAAGGATCAAGTAGATTCAACCCTCCGGAAGCTGGCAAAAAACAGAGTTTTGTGCTATTTCTTGGGAGAATCATGATGAGAAACGGGTGGATTGGGGGGTGCCTCTGTTTTCAGACAAGCCCATGTCACCATATTTCAGCAGTGACGGTGAGAATCCGATCAACAATACAGTGAAAACTGCTTTGCTTCGACCTCCAATTTTTGATGTTTCTTTATGTTTCTTCGACTTTTTGTAGAGAGTTCCTGTTTGGGGAGATCGAATCACAACCTCTTTGCCCAATCACTCCTGATTTCCACCGCTACATCGCTACTAATCACTCACCGTGGGATCTCTTCTTCGGCGCTAAGGCAAGACATGACCGGCTTCCTGGAAGAGCCAGGACCTCAGCTGGATGATAGCTGAAGGATCCCAGGTACCAGTGAACATCATGTCCGGGGTTTGCAAAAAGCAAAAATTCCATTTATATTTATATAATCAATCATACATAAGTAATCCCTGCTTAATCAAAACTCACCCCATTACTGTATAAAAAACTCCAACACATCCCAAAATGGCGCCAAAAAAGGCCGAACGTGGCCTCTGGATTCCTAAAAAAAAGAAACCAAATTGGATAAATTTCATGCAAAAAAACAAATTTCATAAAGAAAGGCTCGCACATCATGTGTTGTTGCTGCCTTTAACTACCCGGAAGCAATCTTGTTGCAAAAGTTGTGTGGTAGCAACCCTGCTGAACAGCAGAACACAGTGGCACGGCGAGTCTAAAACTTCCCAAAAACATACCCCAATATAGCGCCCAAAACTGCCTAACGCCATGGCAGTGAAGGACAGAAAGGCGAAACACATGATAGCGAACCGTGCCGAAGGTGGCTTCTGATACCGTAGAAAAGGCTTTCTAGAGTTCTCTTGCTGCTGCTGCTGCTGCTGCTGCAGCATCCGAAACGCTACAACACCATGGCAGTGAAGGACAGAAGGGTTAAAAACACACGGCCGAAAAAAGTGCCTAACGTGGCTTCTGAACAGGTAGACCCTATTTTTTTAAATACAAAAATTATGTAAAGCTAGCTTTAAAGTAAAACTATAATATAAAAAAGATAGCTATGACTTTAAAACCTGAAATATATATTATAAATTAAAAAACAATCAAACTATAATAATAATAATTATAATAATATATATATATAGAGAAAGAGACAGGTCTTGCTGCTGCTGCTGCTGCTGCTGCTGCTGCCAAGCACCACCAACTTTTCCAGCTGTATCCCCCATCTTGCAGAAACGCAACACAGAAACCTGTAATCCTTGACGCGTTCCCCCTTGCATCAGCCGGGGTCGGCGGATAAGGGGTAATTATATATATATATACATAGTATTTTGATATATATATATATATATATTGATGTATTGATATACCTGGAACCTCGTGGGTTGCAAAATTTCTGTCTTCATCAGAAATGACAAAAATTTGTTTCACGTTCGTGGGGAAATGTCCCTTTCTTCAGAAATTGTCATTTCGCTGTGGCCACAGGTGCGGCCACTACCTTCACTTTGGCTCATTGTGTTTCAGCGTGCAATAAGAACGCCTCAAATATTTGCAAATATTTTGACATGCACTGGAATCCCAGGGGCCTGATCAAATACCAATCCTGAAAGCGGAGCCTTTTTTCTGTCATGCTCAAACATGCTCACAATACTCACAACTTTTCTAGACATGAGAGCGCAGTTGCACCATGTCAGGCCAGATCCTTAGAGGTATGGTGCCGGAATCGTCGATGCAAAGCTTTGCTTTTGATCAGAATGAGTTCCAAGGTTCTTTGGGAAGTTAATCGGCTTGAGACTTTTCTACTCAATCGGCACACCTTTCCGATCATGTCCTCATTCATGTCACATCCCCAAATCAGCAGGTTGAGGACATACTCTGTATTTTGATCTTGGAGCGCTTTGAAAATATCATATTTTGAATGGGCAACCATGTGGTATTTGGATTTCAATCCAAACGCAGTGAACTGAAATTGATTCAGCGACAAGAAGGCACAAGCATTGTACCCTTGCAAAAAATTGTGTACATTTTCGTACACTGCAGCAGCACAGCATCGGTTTAACCACAAACCATGTGAATAAATGATCCGAAGAAAAGCCCTGGCGGAAGAAGCTGTCTTGTTGATGTAGCGCAGTAGGTTGACATGCTGAGGACTCTTGGGGTCATTCAGCAGGCCCGCAGAAAGCACCTGAACCCAAGCCAAAAGATGACTTGTGTCTGACCCCTTACTGCTCGCCCATGCAAAGCTATCCCAAGTTGGAGCATTCAGGAAAGCAGCAGAAAATGAACGGAGGGCTGCAGTTCGCCCTGTTGTTTTGCAGAACCAATGAAAATGATTGTAAGCGCGCTCCAAAAGGATTTCTCGGCCATTCGACTGTCCAACTTCATGGAAATATTTCAATCTACACAAAATCATGATGGAAGAGCCCACAAAGTCTCTCAAAATTCCAACTTTTGTATTGTGGAAGATATCCCTGCGAAATACCCGTTCCACAGGCATGGAAGCTTCATCATTCACGGAATTGCTTTCAAAAGGAATCAGGCAAACAACTGGTATGACATCAAATGGTCTTTGCACAAACATTGTTGGCGCCCAGGTCGGTTGATGGCTGGCGTCCTCGAATGGAAGCTCGCGAACCCCAGCGAGGCACTCGTGGCACATGTGGGTGTCGGCAGCTAGCTGCTTGTTGAAGCAACGCTGAAAATTCCCTATCTTGTCAGCAAACCATTTAAGGTCACCTTTCAATCCAGTGATGCTGGCATACCACCGTTCTTCATTTAAAAGGGTGATTCCTTCCTCAAAAAGAGATATCAAGTCCCTAGTGCATTCCACCAAGATGTTGTTCAGCAAGTCTGACTCTTTCCTGGGAATCACTGCTATGACATACTTGGTCAAGAAACTGTGTTGCTTCATGTTGGTCGCTTGGTAAGAACATGGGCCCCCAGGAGGGGGGCATCCCCGTAGACCTGGAGCAATGCAGAACCTCTTGGCTGTATCGCTGGTGAGGTGGCAATCTCCACCTGAACATAGATTCCTTTTTCGTCTCATGTTGTTCGATGTATCGATTCCCAAACATGTTTCCAACATCAAAACAGTTGTGTTTGACTTCTTAAGGCCACGCCCTTCATCGCCATGCATAGCCATGCACAAGGTGTTGGAATAGGAACGATGTTCATGATGCTCAGTTACAAGCCGATGGGTGGGGTGCTCTTTGGCGTATGCTGTCCAAAAAGCTTTGAGGTGAGCCCGTCCTTCATCTTTGTGTTGACATCCTCCAAGAACCAGATCTGGTGCTTTTTCCAGAAGGAACTTAACCCAAGATTTGGGGCTCAAAAATGGAATTTTCATTGTAACACCATCCTCCAGGTGATCAGCATAGGACATTGGAACTTTCCACGCAAGCCCCCACTTACGAATGAAGGCATGGGCATCTCTGGATGCGTTCTGCTTGCATGTGGCCTTCGCTAGGCCTGGGTCCACCTCTTCTCGGGCAACCCCAGCAAAGTGGTGGAGTGTGGCAGCTGGGGCCTGAGAGGATTCGATGGGCATACAGTGAGGAAATTCTGGGCATGCAAAAAAAACAGGTTACTACTGTGATTAGCCAAAAATTGGAATTGGGAATCTTGAGTCTTATATTTTTTGGGTTGGTACTAGGCTGGGGTACCTTAGGCCCTGGCTCCATCAGCTAAAACTTCAGCATAGTTGAAGGCGGAATCCCCTGGTTCTGGATCACGTGTTTTCTGGCCTGGCATCATTTTATTTTGGAAGTGCATAGGCATACCTTGGGTAAAGAGGTACAACATACATTTGGTGCTGGATGGTGCTGGAATGGTACTAGGCAGGCAACCCCTTTTTTTGAACCTTGGCGTTGTTCAATGATCTCCTCATGCAACATGTATTTGCACATGCTGACATTAATTTGCAAATCAAATCGATCTGCCATAACCCCATAGCTAAGTCCTTGGAAATCACAACCGCTTCACATGAAATTCTTTTTCAACATGGGAATGAACCGTATGACCTATGGAAATTCAGCGGCCGTGAATTTGGCAACCATTCGCTACGCACGCTTGTCTCTAGCAAACGTGAAGAGCACAAAAGAGCATATAGAACTCTAAAAAGTATGCCTTAGGCAATCAACGGCGAGTTCGCTTGTTCGGTGGCGATTCCTGCTCCTGCTTCGGCTTAGGCGCCCCTTTGGCCTTAGCCTTGCTAGCTGCTTTCGCCTTGACCTTGGCCTTTGCCTTAGGGGCCTTAGGGGCGGCCTTCGGTTTGGCCGATGCCACACCTTTTGGAGTGAATGGCCTGGCGCCAGACTTTGAGACTCAAGCAGGCGATGGTAGTGTCCCTGAAAAAAATGTGACTAATGACCGCAAGATGGAGGTGTTTAAATGGATTAACCTCATGTACTTCAATGGGGAAACAAAAAGCATTGGGTTATTGATGGTCCAGATTGCGAATTGCCTGGCCTGGCACGAACTTCCAAGCCCATCGAATCAGCCACCCTAAGCAGGAGTGATGCTCATGTTTTTAGATTAAAAAATATGTGCACTAACACCAAGCACAGATAAACACCTGAGGACCCGTCTTCTGCGAAATCTTCTTGGACATATTTCGCAGTGCTTCTTCATCCCTTAAGTTGCAGGTGAAAGATCTAGATGGAAACAATAATGCACAAGGGGTCCCTTCAGTTTCCTATTGGAAATATTTGCTAATTAAGTGAGCTCTACATGATTCAGACCCTAGCTCTGGCTAGCAAGGGTAATATTCAATTAAGGTTCTCCTTTGAGTAGCCCTCAACCACGCCCTTGGTGTATGCAGCCGTCATTTCATTCTGCATCTGCTCCAAGGCCGTGATGGATCCCGACAACGCATGGCTGAGCCTGAGCCGCTTGGTGTGGAGAAGTGCAGGGGCCATACCAGGGTATCAGACAGCAAGAACCACCCTGAATAAAAACAATACCGAGATATGATGGTTAGCCTATCATTATGAAATGCCTAATGCATCATGATATAAAGAAGACTATATCAGTGTAGTGTATAGTGATATCATGAGAAGGAAAACTGTATGCTGTCAAACAACTTGTCTTGGATCTCATTGAGGGCTGGAGCTTGGTCGAATCGGGTCTTCACAGCTGCCACTTTAGCAATGCGCTTTGCCAAAGCCATCCTTACAGAGAAGACATTCGGTTTGTTCTGGTTTCAACCGAAAAATTGAATGAGATCTTTCAAACCAAGAATGGAAACATGGATACGGCGTGTTAAGCAAGCCCCCAGGATGATATGCATATAAGGGTCAGGAACCGTTGGACACCCGAACTGGGAAGTGCATCGGGATCCAACTCCGGAACCACCCCAATTTTCCTGTGAGCCCTTTCATCATCCCCATCGTCATCATCACTTTTCTCGAGATCCACCACATCACCTGAGTTCAAATGGACCAAACAAGGGCTGAAAGAGTTGACACCCAAGCTAAATTCACCAAATTGTCCTAAACCAAGTTTTTGATCATCCAATAAATGAGGTTTCAGGCTACATGTAAATTTATGCGCCATGTGCCACCAAAAAAGCCAACATTTGTGGATTAAAGAAAGGCAGGCTTGAAGTAATCGCTTCCCTGAATCCATTACTGACAAGATAGTCTATTTTTCCCCACCTGCCAGGTGAGGTTGTTAGATTTTATCACAGTTGTTCTCCTCCTCCGCCTCCTCCTCCTCATCCTCCACCTCTTTCTCCTCCTCCTCCCTCTCCTCCAGCTTCTCCTCCACCACCTTTGCATCCACTCCCATGTTCACTTCCGCCTTGCCAACTCTTCGCCAAGCTCTTCGCCAACTTCCGCACGCAGTGGGCACTGCTGGACCTCAACTGCAAGGGTCTGAACGCACTGGACACCGCTGGACCTCAACCTGGGACCTTCCGAGCTCAGTGAGCACCGCTGGACCTCAACCTGGGACCCTCCGAGCTCAGTGAGCACCGCTGGACCTCAACCTGGGACCCTCCGAGCTCAGTGAGCACCGCTGGACCTCAACGGTCAGATAGAATGTCAGAAGATATGCCAGATAAAGTGCCAGAATGTTTGCCAAATAGAATGCCAGAAGATATGCCAGATAGAATGCCAGAAAGAATGCCAGATAGAATGTCAGATAGAATGCCAGAAGGTATGCCAGATAAAGTGCCAGAATGTTTGCCAGATAGAACGCCAGAAGATTTGCCAGATAGAATGCCAGATAGAGTGCCAGAAGATATGCCAGAACATATGCCAGAAGATATGCCAGGTAGAATGCCAGAAGATATGCCAGAAATAATGCCAGAAGATATGCCAGATAGAATGTCAGAAGGTATGCCAGAAAGAATGCCAGATAGAATGCCAGAAGATATGCCAGATAAAATGCCAGAAGATTTGCCAGAACATATGCCAGAAGATTTGCCAGATAGACTGTCAGAAGATATGCCAGAAGATATGCCAGATAGAGTGCCAGAAGATATGCCAGAACATATTGCAGAAGATATGCCAGGTAGAATGCCAGAAGATCTGCCAGATAGAATGCCAGAAGATATGCCAGATAAAATGCCAGAAGATATGTCAGATAGAATGCCAGAAAATTTGCCAGTAACAAAACGTATAGATGTCATGGTGGGGATAACTCGAAGTAAAGTAATTTTTATTCTATATAATATATTGTGATATATTTAGTTTGTATTACTTCACAACTAGAGGAGGCATAGTTGGCCAAGTCTCCCTCAGGCTCGGTGGCGCCAGGCATACCATCATCCAGTGACAGACTCATGTTCTTCATGCCCCCCTTCTCATGGATACGGGCACGCTTCGTGATGTCAAGTCGGGATTCTTTCCTTAGTGCATGATAGCTACTGAGAGAATGGATTGGTAAATGAAGTTCGCCCTAGGCAGCGTGACCATGTATAAGTGCAATCATAGATCGATATATATATATACTATTTTTATTACTATATATTTGAAGAATATATTTGGTATTGAGATCGTGTGGTGGCTGATTTTGTGCCACTTGCCAAAATCAAATTCGGAGTTCATATATTCTGCAATCAAGTAACGCCTGGGTACCTTTGACAGAGGTTTCGACATAGTAGAGCATTGTTTTCTCATAGGGATCTCTCCTGATTGGGAAGGGAAGGGGATTTCACCCTGCTTGAGACTAAGAACCACCGTTGATCACCCACCTGCAGCAACTGTTGCCCGCCCGGTGCCTCAAAAGCTTCTGCGGCTGGGTCCGGCAATGCTTCTTCACAGCCGCGATTCGTCGCCTAGGATTGTGTTGAGTCAAGGCACCCATTTTTAGCCTTTTGGATTAGAACGTGTTTCCTTAGTCACCTGAAAGCCGAACCCCGAGAATAAATGTTCTCATCCATTGGAAAGCTGTTGGTAAAATATTTGGAGATTGCTGGAAACAAATTAAAGTAGAGGTACTCTGAAAATCCCCATTCCTCCATCTTCTCAGTACTCACAAACTCGCCCTCCACCACCAACTTGCAAGACATCATCTCACTTCGTAGAACCTCCACTTCAGCGATGAAGGTCTCCTGAGAATGAACCCAGGAAGCTGTTGATGAATCAAGTTTGGGTTGGTAAAGAATGGTCCCAAGATACTACTGAACTAAAAAAGAAGTTTTTGAGGCGAATTGTAGGAGCACCCCTTCAGCAAACCCTTTCCTTTTGGAACTCAAGGTATAGGTGCATGTATGTTGCTCATTCGGTCATACCAACCCCACTGTTATCAATAAGGGAGATGGAAAATGATTTTGCATCGACTATGTGTTGAAAACCAAGGATCCGGATCATACCCACATTGTTTGAAGATCTGCTCCAGCATTCTCTTTTTGGGGCCCTTGCTATGCCACTCATCCCAAATTTCATCACTCACCTTCTTGCTACCATCTCCACGTTTTGTGAAGATTCGCCTAGATCGGGAACGGACGGCTTCTGGGCTAATGTGGGCCTGTCCTAACACAGGTCTCGGGGCAAGAGCATCCGAGACATCTGGGATCTCATCCCACAAATCCTCAAATGGCTCTGCTGGGTGGTAAGACATTGTTCCATCACTGTTGACAACAGATCCTGGTGAGTAGCCGGGAGAAGCTCCATCCAAAAGGGCGAGGGACTTTGGTACTTCAGGGACATTGGCTTTTTCCGGCACTTCCCTACCCCCCTTTGAATCACCGTTCGATTTCATGGGAATGTCCACCCCATCAACTTCAGCATCACTGTCATTTTGATCCCTTTTTGGGGAAGGAAGGGTCCCTGGCACGGTCGCGGCTTCTGACATGGGGGTGGCTGCTTCAGCCTCTTGCTGCTCAGGCGGTGTGGTTGGCGGCTTCGGCCTTGGAATCTGTCTAAGGCACGCAGGGGTGGTACCTGTTGTGGAAGCTGGCGAAGACTGGCCCAAGTAGTTCTGCAGCACCTTGGGGAATTAAGGGAAGGAAATACGCAACATCATTAATCATCAATAAGTTTCTCATGAAGCTAGTTCGGACAGGAGAACAAAATAGTAGAATTGACCAATATTTTCTAGGGTCTGTGAGTTCCTCTTGCATCTCTTGTTCTGTCAACTCTTCATTCTTTAAGTGGCCGTAGTAGGAGTTGACACGGCCCAACCCCATTTGCAAACTTCCACATGACCAGGCTCTGCTCTGCAACCTGTTTGGTTCTGAACCAGCCATGGTGCCCCTGGGCACCCTTACTACTGATTGCCTTTACTAACCGCTTGAGAGGATGGGCATTCATGCTTAGAATTTAAAAATAAACCACGGCATGTTTCGCAACAACCCTCCGTGCAGGATCATGCAATCAAATGTTGCACGCTAGGTTGGGTCTGCACAAGATTGGATTCTTTCATCGCTGTCGATGGTTTTGTTCGTGATCAAAAGCAGCTGAAGCACACCAATTCAATGGCTTGCTGCTCCAAGTCCGAATTTCCATCTAATTTGGTGGCTGTGGTGGAGCACATGGGAGAAAACATGAACTTTCCCAGAGAAGTTACACAATATCATTGTTTTTAAGGTATGTGAAAAACTGATCATTTTGGCCGGTCGGGAAAAAGCGCCGTTTGGTCGGGAAAAAGCGCCGTTTGGTCGGGTAAAAGCGTCATTTTCAAAAATGTTTTTTTTCAAGACATTTTGTCAGCCCTAGCCCACAACCACCAGTCAATATAAACCCTGGTCAGATTCAACAGGGTCGAAACCTTCCCACATTTCATCGGGAAACAGAGGCCGAAACTCCGGTGGGATCTCAAGATCCTTTGCCCCCCTCAAATACCTCACTGCGTCCTTGATCTCTGCGACGGACCAGGTGGTGCAGGGACAAGCGAAGATCACATCGTGCAACTCCTCGGTGGGTACCTGGGCGGCGAGGCATCCCCCAAAAAAGCATCATCCACAGGCTAGGTACTGCTGTTTCTGGTTGTGGTTTTGAATTTGGGTCAAGTAACTGGTAAGTTCCATGGAGATGAATCCCGTTGCATAGATCTCACAGTTTGAACCACATGTCGGGCAAAGCGAGCTGGGTACTGCCTTGGTTGGGAGGCAACACAAAAGGAATGTATATTATATATATATATAAGCACAAACGTACTAACATACCATGATTTCGAGGACAATCATTTCTTCTCCAAAAAAACAACATATCTTTCATCCCTTGGTTGGAAAAGGAACACACTTGTAACCAAAACATTAGATAAGAGGCTGCGTAGATTTCAGTTTCTTGCTCCCCTTGTATCGTAGTTTCCCATTTGCATTCCTGTATCGGACAGTGGTAGCCACAGTGGTTCTTTGCATAGCTCGAACGAGTCTACCAGTTTGCAATCGGTTGACCCGGCAGCTGTTACTCACTAAAATGGTTCGTTTTGGACAAGGACCACCCATCAGCTGCATCCACATCATTGTTTTCCACAACTGCAGGGTAGCATGGTTTTCCCCCAAATTGAAGGTGTAACCCCACCACGTATACTTTAAGAACACATGCCGAATATATATTTTCCCTTGTGCTTTCTTTCATAACCAACCATTTGTTAAGGTCTCAAAACTTACCAGGCCTTGTTCCCAACCCTGGCCAAGATTTGGAATGCAGCTCTCACATACATGTAGTGGAAGAACAATGAAGACGCAGGCTGTTCTATCACGAACGTGCTGTCCATGGCCGCAATGAGTAAGGCTAACAGCCCAATCCTGTTTTGTCACAACAAAAATAGGCCCTCATAAAATACAAGTGTGAAATATCTTAGCCCGAAGATTGAAACAAACCCAGCACAAGAATTACAATCCAACAATTTGGTGGTTGACCCTCTTTGCAAATTGAAAATTCTACATCAGGATTCCCTGTCCTTGCTGCTGACTTATTGGCTTTTCTGTTTTGTAAGAAGGAAAGAAAACCTCCTGGGCAAATCACACTCCGACCAGATGTCCCCACATTAATGCTGATCCAAGTGGAACATACTGGAGCCATCCAAACGACTGCCCGGCCAAAGGCTGATTGGAAGAGGAGGAGCACAGAAAGCCTGAGCTGCAGGCAAGGCATCACAGAATGTTGCAGGGGGTGAAGGAAGACAATAGTAAAAAGATTCAATTGAGGGGCGCGAAGCCGCTTTCACCGTTGAAGTCCATGTAGCTTCTATGGGGGAAGGGATGCTTGCTGGTTTTCTTTCGGTTGTGGAAGCCCTTGTCATTCTCCAAATCAAAAGATGCCACAGGATAACCACACTTCGCTGCCAAACGTGACAGCCTAGCCTTTCCCGAGAAAAACTCCAGTACTTGCCAAGTGTGCTTTCCACGAAAAGCTCCTTGAGCGAGGAAGGCACAAAGGAGGCATAGTAAAACGAAGTCCTTGGATACTAAGCACCAGCCCCGCCAGTCAGAAAGTTGAGCGGGTGCTATACCTGTAGTGGGAATCTTTCTCTGATTTATTGCCCAAATGCTGATGATCACCCCAAGCCTGTATCTTTATTGACTTGGTTTGCTATAACAGGTTTGGAGGTGATTTCGCGCAATCAGAAAACAAGTCTCTTTCGGAGCACCCATGGCCACAAGCCGGCGCAGTACCAAATCCATTTCATCGGGTGTCATGGCAGACAAGAGGCAACAACTCAAGTTACCACCTAAAGTTTGATCCTGGAGATTCACCAAATGTAAACTTCCGGTTTGCCAAAGTGAGTGACACCTCGAAAATTTCAATTTCTGCCTTTGCCATTAGTTATTTTCTTTTCCGAATCCAGCCATGCTGGGGCCGCAAGCGTGCCAGGAAGGCCTTTGAGATAAAAGCCTCGCTCTATGAGGAAGGCTGGTGGCCCTCCGCGTCTCGGCATGGAAGTACCTGCCGAGATGCATGCATTACCAGCAGTGAGTGGAGAAGCTAATATCTCATGTAAAAGGGAATGTTCTGAAGGAAAAGCCAAGTTGACATCATATTTGATAGATACACGCTGCAGGTATACAGTATATAATGTGATACAACGTGGCAATGCTTGAGAAACTCAACCCTCAAAATCTTAACTGATGGTATTTTCTCACATTCCACATTGTTGCAAGCGGCTAGATGCACACTCTACTGCTCCAGTCCCGGCACAATTGGCAGGATGATGCCGTCGCCCCAAGCCATGTGAACATTTATTTTTTTGGTGTTATGGTACCCGTTCTATGTTTGAATTGGACAGACTTAAAAACAACTATATACACATCATTAAGGGGTCTCAGGCCTAACACCCTGATCGCAGTTTGGTCTGCCAGGTTCGTAAACCCAAAAGCATATGATATCCATAGAGCTACCATAGATTGGCACCCTCACACAAGCATTTCAGCTTGTGACAGCCCCGGCCAAACACGGTGTAGCTCAGCGAGCTCTCAAAAAGTACCCCATCATTTCACGTAGTCACCTGGGCGAAGGCTGAAGTGTGTCGTTTGGGGAGCAGGGAAAAATGGTTCAGAAAGCTAGCCCTTTTGGGTCCCCAAATCTTATCCCCAGCAAAAGCAAAATACTCATCCAGATCCAGAGCAGATCCAGTGACGGACATCGTCAAGTGCCAAAAACGGATTGACTTTGCTCAGCACCAACTCTTCGTCATTGCATTTGGCTTCCACGAGTGTGGTGAAAACGAAATTCCACCATTTCAACTGCAGGGAGTGCGGGTGATATTTGATCATCAAGACTTGCAAAACATCGGATACAGAAACGCTATGCTGGGCAGTTATTGCAGGCATCAGGGGGGCAAAACAAGTAGACTTTGGATTTTGGACCGGCCTCGCAAGAACTCACCGATCCAGTGAGCTTGCCTTCGACCTTCTCCTCGAACACCTTTCTAATGACGAGGAAGCGAGCACTGGCAATCCCATCACGGGATGGGCAGTACCTGCCTGCGAAGGTGGCCTTGCGCAGCACCTGCCCTTCCCCACTGGGAACTTCCTTTGGCTCCTTCGCTTTGCGAGCAGCCTTGGTAACCTTGGGAACGTCAGGCATCTCCTCAGGCGCATCTGCTTTGCAAGCACCTTTTCGGGCCTTGCCATGTGTTTCGTTGCTCTCCTTGCGAACATCATCCTTCGTAGATGGCCTCTTTCGCTTGTCCGGCTTGTCCTTGGCAATGCCCTTGTGGGTGTCCACCGGGTCCTTCTGTGTGCGAAGCTTTGCAGACTTTTCCGCGGCAGCTTCAAAGTCACGTGCCAAATCCTTCCTGCATTCCTCACCATTTGTCTCCTCGCCCTCGCTCTCCAGCACAGTCACAGTAGCATCAACTGGCGATGCCAATCTGGCTTGCTTTTGTCCCTTGGCAGGCTTGCGAGAAGCTGGCCTTTTGGCGATGCCACGTCCACGGCCTCGACCACGGCCTCGGCCCTTTGGTTCAGCGTCTCGTCCACGAGGAGCATCCCTTGCATCATCCATTCTCCTGGTCTTGTTCTTCTGGTTCTTGATAACTTGCTGATGCTCTCGGGTCACCATTGGGAGGTCTTTCAAGCCTTCCAAGTCTTTCTCCAAATTGCCGCCTTCTTCATGCTGGTCTTGACCTGTTTGGCTGGCACCTGTCTGTCTTGGCTTGGCCTTTGTCTTGCTTGCTGCTGGTTTGCCACTGCGCTTGGCAGCAGGCTTCTTGGCGTGGCTGGGCACCTCGGGGATGGTGGCTTTCGGAGTGGTTGGCTCATCCATTTTTCTCTTGTCCTCACCATCCTCTGTCTCCGACGGTGGGTCAGGCTGAGCGCATGGAACTTCTGTCTCAGCAACAGAGGGCACCACATCAAGCTCTGTCTCCGGGCGAGGCTGCGAATCTTGAAAGACAGGTGGCAGCGGATCAAGCTCTGTCTCTGGGCGAGGCTGCGAATCTTGAAAGACAGGTGGCAGCGGATCAAGCTCTGTCTCTGGGCGAGGCTGCGAATCATCACAGACAGGTGGCAGAGCATCAAGCTCTGTCTCTGGACGAGGCTGCGAATCATCAAAGACGGGGGGCAAAGAATCAAGCTCTGTCTCTGGCCGAGGCTGCGAATCTTCCTCCAAGACTGTTGCGGTAAGAGGCTGAGAGTCTTCAACCTCAAAGGGATTTGGAATCCTCACCAAGACTTGCCGTGGGCTCAACAGGAGCTGCCATCATGGGCTGGGAATCCTCAATAGCCGCTGCCATAGCCTCGGAATCTTCAACAGCTGCTGCAGCGGCTGCCATGGGCTTGGAATCCGCCACAGCGGCTGCCATGGGCTGGGAATCGAGGAGGGAATCCTCTTCCTCCGGATCTTCACAGTCATAAAGGCCACGACCATCGATAGCATCACCGATCACATCACCCCAGTATGGCAAGGTTTCATCCGTGTCTTTGCCTACAGCGGGCATTTTTCGATTTGACGTATAAACCGTAAATAAGTAGAATCAAATCCCCGTTGACGTATACTAGTCTAGAAACCACCCCTTTGTACCAAGATTGGATGAATATAATATAATATTTATATAATTTATAATATAATATAGTATATTATAATAAATAAAGCGCAGTAGAAACCCAAAACTTGGAAGCCATTTGTTTCCCATGACCAGGCCACATGCCAGAGATTCTGAACCTGTGCCAACGGGCTCCATGTTCTCAGGTGATCGAGCTTCTTGATCTGCCAAAACCTTTTTGCTTTCCTCGAGTCGTTGCCTCAGCGAAGAGCGAAGAGGGGTTAGGAAAGAACATCAAGCACAAAATCTATGTTAGGAAATATGGGGCAATCTATGTTGTATCAAAAAATAATTCATACTTTAAAACAAGGGGCCGGATTGCAGCCATCCGGGCTTCAAGCTTAGCACGGTCTACTGGGTGCAAATCAGCAGGGTTGGAAGGCAAGACCTCTCTCGGAAGGGGCGGTAGCAAAGCCTTTGCAGGCACTGGCGGTGGAGGCATCTCATCTTTCACACCTGTCCTCATGTGTCTCAGGCCTGTGGCAGGCTCTGCATGTGGCTCAACGGATCCACCAGGCCGGGCGGCTTGGGAACTGGAGGCGATCTCAACTACCACACACTCATCCTGATCAGCCTCCTCTTCATTGTTGATCTCAGCATTGACATTTGCATGAACTTGGGCACTGATTTGATCCCATGCCCAATACTTCTGGATGATGGCAAAGAAGGTATCCAGCCGACCATCCTAAGATTGAGCTGATTCCCAGAAATGCAACTAATTATATATTTGTTTTCTGGCAACCTTTGGGGCTAAGTATGGCTAAACCACAACAAATCATTTGGGAAAGGAACATGAACATCAAATAAGGGTCTCGAGAACTTTGTCCACTCATGAATCTGCGGAGTCCATAGTTGAACAGGATTTTGATGCCTTTGCCATCGATGTAAATTAACTGGTCATCATGGTCACGTCCAAGCTTCTGACGCAGGAGGGTCACCTGAATAGGGGAACTACATCCCAAACTAAACCATACTGGATGCCAGAGTTCAACTATCGCCCCGACGAAGGACATAAGGTTCAACCATAATAATTTTAGAGCATGTGTTATTCTTGACAGTATTACCCCACCTTAGCAATGTCATAAAGTAACCATTTGAATACCTGCATGAGATATGAACATATACATATACATATATATATATATATATTACGTAAAAAGGTAAATATAATTCCCCACCTGCCAGGTGAGGGTTGTTAGATTTTATCACAGTTGTTCTCCTCCTCTGGCGAAGAGCTTGGCGAAGAGTTGGCAAGGCGGAAGTGAACATGGGAGTGGATGCAAAGGTGGTGGAGGAGAAGCTGGAGGAGAGGGAGGAGGAGGAGGAGGAGGAGGAGGTGGAGGATGAGGAGGAGGAGGCGCTGGACCTCAACTGCAAGGGTCTGAGCACACCGGGCACCGCTGGACCTCAACCTGGGAGCTCAGTGAGCACCGCTGGACCTGGCACCGTCCGAGCTCAGTGAGCACCGCTGGACCTCAACCTGGGACCCTCCGAGCTCAGTGAGCACCGCTGGACCTCAACGGCCAGATAGAATGCCAGAAGATATGCCAGATAGAACGCCAGATAGAATGTCAGAAAGAATGCCAGAAGATATGCCAGATAAAGTGCCAGAATGTTTGCCAGATAGAATGCCAGAAGATATGCCAGATAGAGTGCCAGAAGGTATGCCAGAACATATGCCAGAAGATGTGCCAGGTAGAATGCCAGAAGATATGCCAGATAGAATGCCAGAAGATATGCCAGATAAAATGCCAGAAGATATGCCAGATAGAATGCCAGAAGGTATGCCAGATAGAATGTCAGATAGAATGCCAGAAGGTATGCCAGATAAAGTGCCAGAATGTTTGCCAGAACATATGCCAGAAGATTTGCCAGATAGAATGTCAGAAGATATGCCAGATAGAGTGCCAGAAGATATGCCAGAAATAATGCCAGAAGATATGCCAGGTAGAATGCCAGAAGATTTGCCAGATAGAATGCCAGAAGATATGTCAGATAGAATGCCAGAAGATTTGCCAGTAACAAAACGTATAGATGTCATGGTGGGGATAACTCGAAGTAAAGTAATTTTTATGTCCCTGAGCTGGCCTCGGCTCGGGCCGCATCTATGGTCAGAATCTTAACGTACTCGAAATTGGGACACCACCACTCAGCCACTGCCTCCAAAACTCGAGCGTTTAAGCCTAGGGCTTTGGCACTCTTCACATTGATGGCCTTGTCGTTAAGCCATTGGGTAAAGTATCCAGGGGCAACTAGGATCCTGGTTCGAACATCACTCATGTTTTCCAACACCTTTGCCAACTCTCCTTCTGGCGGAGGGACATTTCGAACAGCTGCTGGTTCCCCCATTGGTCAGGTTCAAACAGGATCTAGCAGGTTCCTTTCAAATCTTGGGGCCAAATGCCTTTTTACATGTAGTGGTTTCCCATGTGCCCAACCCCAATCCCAAACAAACTTCGGCAGCCATTGGGCGCACATCAAAATCGTCAGCTGGATTCCATCCCATGCTGCGCTCAGGTGGCCCCAGTCTGAAGCAGTCTGAAAGCGGCGTGGGCGCTTGCTAGGTGATGTTTCTGGATCAACTTTTTCTTCATGTTGGAATGGACAACTTTAAAGTGATGCCACCTACTTTCAACAAAATTCTTTGTTGATCCGCTTGGGCCATGGTTCAATGGCTTCTGGTATGTTCCGGATGTCCTCAGAAAAGAATTGATTGCACCTGCTCAAGACCGGCACGGGGTGGAAGGAGAGGTTCAACACTACCAAAAATCAAAAGTGTTCCTACTTTGGAAAAATTGCCCTATTCCAAAAAAGCACTTTCCCTTGGAATGACTAAAATTTGGACCCCCTGGGAAGATCTAGGTATATATATATAATATCATATATATATATATATTTATTTACAATGTCCGAATGAAAAAAGGCTTGATGACCATCCAAAGACTGGGCATACTGGATCCAGTCCATGACCATGGCACGGAACTGGATAGCTACTTCAAGTAGTGTAAATTCTCTGGAGCTTGATGCTATCTATCCATGTTCCTTCAACCCACTCGCACGCCCGGATGTGCTGCTTCAATCAAAAGTGTATTCCTCAAGCCTCAAGTTCATATTTTTCCGTGTTCTTCCTTCAACAACAATCAAACACAGCATCAATATCAATACTGGTACATATCCATACGATTATTGTGATTATTAACCATCAAGTGTCAACTATCTTGTAACTACAAACTATTAGCACTCTATTAACTATTGACTTAATAACTTAAGACTACAGTACCACAGTACTAACTATTAACTATCATAAGTACTACAACTATCATAACTACTATAAGTGTTAGAACTATCACAACCATTATCACTGATATAAGTATCAGAACTATTCTCAGTGTTATAACATGACTATGATAGCTATGAGTTATTATTAACATTTATTGATTCATTCAATCACTAACATTAGTCATTATTAGCATTAATAACATTATTAACATCATGAACAGTATTAACATCATTAACATTATTAACTATCATTATCTCTTACTAAATCTAGTTTCCACTGGTATTCTCCCCGTTTTTTTTTTTTTTTCCGAGGCTCACCGTGGCGGATTTGGAGGACGTGAAGTGGTTCGCAGAGAGCGTGGTGCCGGAGCCTGGAAACGCTCCAAATTTGCGAAACGTGCGACGTGGGTCATTTTTAGATAGTAAGAAGTACTAAGATTTTAGATAACTACTAGGGATTATTATATATTATATGACTACTATGGATTATGATATAGTAATATAGTAATTCAACTATGGATTATGATATAGTAATTCATTACGTGGGTCATTACTAGTTTAAGACTACTATGGATTATGATATAGTACTAAGATGTACTAAGATTTTAGATAGTAAGAAGTACTACTAATTACTATGGATTATGATATAATAATTCATATAGTTGTGTCCTGCTGGCCTACTGGGGAAATGAGATTTTAATGAAATTTGATGCGATTCAATTTGATTTTAATGGGATTTTAATTGGAGTTGAATACTACCTATATCATTTATTATAGATAGTTGGGAAACCTATCAACCAACTATTACAATGAGATTCAAATGGCCTGAGGTACGGCCATTTCAAATAGGGGGAAGTGGCCTATGGATATCTATGGATGGTAAACCATGAAGATTTGTTGATCATTTTGTATTGACAGGCTAGACATGGTTAGATTGCCATTTGGCATATACTTTTTCATCCTACTTCATTTACCCACTGTGATGGGTTTGCCCCCTAAATACATCTGGTTGGTGGTTTGGAACATTTTTTATTTTTCCATAATATATGGGATAATCCTTCCCGACTGACTTTCATATTTTTCAGAGGGGTAGGTCAACCACCAACCAGCCATATTTTTCTTGATTTACCTATTAAGGATGGTGATTTTCTACAGCTATGTAAACGTTTACCAGAGGCTAATATTGGATATATTGCCATTTCGTTCGTGAATTTTCCTATGAAAAATGGTGGATCTTTCCATAGCTTTTTGTAAACGTTTAACGAGAGGCTAATTTTTACTGCCCATAATGCCCAGAATACTTTATCGAGCGGAACCTCCATCCTCAGAACCCACAAGTACGTACGAACAAATGGGTGCCATGTGGAATCAAAGAAATGACGAACGAAGTTCAACCACGTTTTTTTTTTTTGTGTGGTTTCTTTTTTGATGTCACATGATAACCATGGGTTATATATGGTTATATATGGTTAATATATGGTTAATGTCATTGTTTCAGTTGATGCCAATACTTTCTTTTCAGTTGAGAAACTATGGGAAAACCATGGAAAACCTATGTTGATAATGATGATAATGTTGATAACCATGGGAAAAACACACTATGAATACTATGAAATTGTCATATCTTTTTCAACTGTCAGAAAAATGTCACTGGTGGGCCATCATTGTTTCTCAACATTCGGAAGCTTTCAATTTCTCCAACGATGTTTGCTCTATGTCATTATTATATTTTTTCAGAAATCTTATGCCTTCCGGTAATCAAGCATGGCTTGCTGGATTCTTCCTTTAGTTCGATGATTTTTCGCATTAACACCTCCATTTACAAGGATTAATCACTATCATATAATATCTATAGTTATAGCCAAAATCAACGATAGGTATTTCAACTATCACACACATATTTACATGAGTTATAGCATGTTATAGCCAACAGTAGCCAACATATCTCAACTATAATCAATGGCCATTTCAGGAACCTAAATTGGAGGTACCTACCATATATAAGGCCTATTTATCAGGCCTAAATTTCAGGGAATATCCCCACAAAATATGGCCTGAAAAATGGTACTAACGTACCTCCATTTTAGGATCCTGGAATTCCCATTGAACTATCACACACATTATTAAACATTATTAACCACTATTAACCACTATTAACCAACATATCTCAACTATATTGATCATATTCTATAGCAACCCAAAAAGAATCGCCGTTGAGGTGAAGGTCGAGACGGAACTCCGAGACCTCTGGGTGTTTGCATTGAGGAGCTGAGCGAACTGCGAAGCGTGGATAGATTGAAGGGGATTAATATCTCTGGGGATAGAACTAACAGTTTTATGATATTTTATGGGGATTTTATTTATAGGATTTTATAGGTATTTTATGGGATTTTCTGGGATTTCATGGTATTTTACGGGGATTAATATCGGGATATATGTGGATTTTGATGGGTGAAGACTTATGTGGATTTAACCAAGAAAAATGGGGGATTCATATCGGGATTTAGCTGGGGATCTACTCAGGATATTTTTCTAACTTGCAATAGTTATAGCATTCAACTGTAGGGGATGAATCCGTTCCCCACAGAAAACCCATAGTTTAGCAAGAGATTTACACATTGGGACAGTAGAATAGGGTTTTAAAGATTAGGGGGATAGGATTCATAATCAATTCCAACTAAGAATGCACCTATCTCGCTCTCTCTCTCTCTATATATATATATACATGTCTGTATATGCATAGTGTTGAGTTGGGGTTCAATGAGCTATTACGTTGGGGTTACATAATGTTGATTTAATGGAAAATCCACCCTTCAGGAAATTGTTAGAGTTTGCCATGATATAGATGGCCCCCCTAGTTCGATGATTTACCTATTAAGAATGGTGATTTTCCATAGCGAACTGTTAAATTACTGAAGGGTAAATTGAATCATCCCAACATGGTTGGCCATTCCAGGTTATTTCAGCCGATTGACAAATAGACATAGGCATCAACAATGCGGATAGCGAGTTGTTTTAGTATTTTATAGCTACAAAAACAATTGCAGTATAGCTATTATAGCTACTATATACAGTATTGTGGAATACATATCTAGTATAGATATACACATATATAAAATGTATATATATATATATCATTCACATAGATACGATATACATATATACTGCATATATATATATACATACATATACATATATAAATACATACACACATATATATATATTATTCACATAGATACGATATACATATATACTGCATATATATACACACATATATATATACTGCATATACATATATATATATATATATATTATATCGAACATGTTCTCCACACTACCTACATGTCGCGGGTCGAGTCGTTCGGCGTAAAACAGGAGATGGCGGGAAGACTTGCTGCGGCTGCAGTCCAGGGAGTTGCACCAATATTTGCCGCTTGCGTTCGCGCTGTTTGGATGAGATGATGAGATATATATAATCTGGGATATATAGTTATAAATATAGTTAATATAGTTATATATAGTTATATATAGTTATATATAGTTATATATAGTTATATATAGTTATATATAGTTATATATAGTTATATATAGTTATATATAGTTATATATAGTTATATATAGTTATATAACTAATCTGGGATATATAGTTGATGATGAGATATATAGTTATATAGTTATATATAGTTTATAATTATATAAATATAAATAACTATAATATTTTTTTTGGATATCATCTGGGATTAACTATAAATCTCATCTACTACATAATGATATATATATATGGGTATGATCTCCAATATGGGTATGGATCAATACCTATAAACATACCATTTTTAGGGGGATGAACATCCATAAATCCCAGCTATTTTGATGTGAACTACAGGGGTACAAGGTTTTGACACACTGCCATTTTTGTTCCGATGGGATTAACTTCTAATGATTAGTGGATGAGATTAACTGATAATCAGTTAATGGATGGGATTATATAACTTAGAATGATTGGTTATAAACCATCATTAATCATCATGACGCCAGCCCAATAAATCACCACTGGTTAGAAGGGATTCATC